CATGCGGGGAAGACAACACGGGCCGCCGGTTCTGCCTCGTGAAGGATTTCAGAGGAAGCAAGATAACGTTTCCCTCCACGGCCCAGGAGCTCGGTTTTGGAGTGCGGCGGTTTTCTTCTTCGCGGACAGGCAAAAGACGAACACGTCCCAGCGGGCGCTGCTGGAGCCATGCCACCGCTACAAGCCGACCCTCAGACACACACAGCTACAACTCGCGTTGGGGGTGCGGGCCGGCAGCTGTAGAGGCCAAACTCATCCTGCTTCGTGAAGCAGCTGGAGGCGCGTGAGCTGTTAACGGGTAAAGGTGAAAATGTCTGCTGGCAGGTCGCAGCGCACCTCCTCCAGGTGACACTTTGAGCAAACACCCACGTCTTCAAGACCATGTATCAATATTACATAATATCTACTGGGATACTTGCAGTTTGCATGGAAACTAAAAGAGGCTGATTATGGTCAGCTTCTTCAGCCACTTTACTTTAAAAGAGATGCACCAATCAGGGCCTTGTTAGGACTATTTTTTTGGGATTCTGAATTTGGCACCAGAACTAAAAATACGAAAGAAAAATTTCTCCAGTCTGACATGAGAGATTTCCAACTCACTTAAAAATATAAACCACATATTTTGATTTAAACAACAAGGCATAAAATGACTTAAGCCTTCCAGCATTGGTGACTTTTAGTTGTAGGTAATATTTTAGAAAAATTACCTCTTATCATTGTTTTTATAATCAAAAACATGTCTCATTTGGCTTTGAAGAGCCACAGTAGAGCGGTAGAGACAGATTGATAAGATGTTGCTGCTCTGGTCTCCAAAACCTGCTGCATTTAAACTTCTCCACAACTTTCTGGAAAGCAACAACCGGAACGCGTCAAGTGTCAACGGGAGACAGTAAGTCCCTGCCAGCCCGTCTCTGCCCTTCTGCCCTGCACTCCAGAACTTCGGTGGTACAGAAACCCAGCAGAGTTTTCCGGAGAAAGAAAAAAAAATCAAAAACAGAAAGCTTTTGACAACATGGAACAACAACAGAAAGAAAGCAGAGCACAAGTAGGCCAGCCTCAGTCCTCCAGCCACCGTCCTGGCCCGACTTTTCATACTGTCCTCACAAAGACAACAGCCCTCAAACTGATGGCTGCCTGCCTTCGCCGGCACAAACACGAGCAGAACCCAGTAGTTGGCGTTTCTGTGCACAAGCTGTCTTGCCTTTTTTGTTTTTTGTGCTTCGGACCTCAGTTTGTTGACAAGCTGGAAACAGAAGGCTTGGACAAACCCGTCAGCGAGGAGTGTTGGAGTAATAAAGTGCTTCTGATGAAAACTTTATGGCCCCTTCACCTTTATTGATGGCGGTGGGATCGGGATCTCGCGCCGTAACAGCGCGAGTCGCTCCGCGCAGGAAAGCAGCTCCATCAACCTCACGCTCGCTAACACGCCTAGCAGAGGGAAGCGCATGACAGGGAGGGGCTCAGATTAACACACTGAACGCTGGCTGAATAACGAAATCTCCCTCGATTTTACCCAGATGTGTTACACCGAACTAAATTCAGGCATGATTGGTAGTTTGGGTGAGTCGGGACATGAAAATCCCTGAGAAGCAACGGATAGATAGAATCTAGATGAGTTGGGAGAAAAGTTAGGAGTAAACATCCCTGCATGCTTGATTGAAAATCAATTAACACATTTTAAAGTTTTTGGCACAGTCTTCTTGTCTATAATGTCAGGACAGATTCAATTTGCAATATTAGATCTCAATAGTTCATGAACATTCTGAAAAATTGGGCAAAGTTGCAACGTTGAACTAAAATCATGCTACTTTTGGATTTAAAAAATATCAGAGTGTCATCAGCAAACAGTCAAACCCATAGCAACTCCAAAGCACGGTGGTGTGGGGATGATGACATGGGATTGTAAGACCGCAAAGACAACAAAATGAACTTTTGAAATGTGATTTTTGTGAGTTTGTTGGATGTCAGATTTCTGACATCAAAGTCTTAAAAAGAGAGTTGCAAACTAATAAAAATGAAGATTGGGACTTAAATGTGTTCATTATGACTAACTGAGGACATATAATGTGTTAAAATTTCCATGCAATCAGTCTCTCTTTTTTTTTCTTAAACATACAAAAGTCACAGGCTGGAATCTTTGTACAGTGTTTCCAGTAAATCTGACGCATAAGAAACATCCACAGATAACATCAACGGATGAAAAAACAACATTTTCTTGCTCTAATGGGAGTTTTTGCTTCAAAAGTCGATGTGACGGGTCGCTGGACAAGACTACCGTTGTGTGCAAGTTGTGCTGAAAAAAGTTTTAGATTGAATATTTTCTCAATATGTAGTTTAGTTATAGATCGTGTAATTAATTTGATTGAACATTTTAATGAAGTCCCAGCAGTAGGATGTGTTTTTTGTGAGTTTGTTGGAAGTTCTTATATCAAAGTTTTTAAAAAGAGAGTTTCAAACTAATAAAACACAGGTTCCTGTGGATTGAAGTCCATTAAAAAGACAAAAGTGCTGAAGTGATGGCAGAGTTCTCTGGCTATATTGAGCAGAGAATATTGACGCTTTTTGCTCTCCCCTACTTGTTACTGTATATACCTGTTCTCCTACTTACAGAGAGGATAAATTCAGCAATTCATTGTTCGTGATTATGCTCCACATGTAACGTCAAAACACATTTTTGCTTGAAATCTTTGTGTTAACAGTGTGAACCCTCTGAAACCGTGTTATTTTCACTCGAGGTTATCGCACTGTGAGAATGTTACCGAAGCTCGTCTTGTTCTTGGCGAAGTTAAAAACGAAGTGCTGAAGCGGCGGGAGCAGCGCGGTCAGCTGAGCTCCTGACCTCGCTCCTCACTCCGACTTTCCTTTAAGAAGAAACCGAGCAATTAAATTTGTCCGTTTGTACCCCGGCATGTTTGAACTACAATTGCACAAACAGGACTTATTAATAATTCCCTTTCAAATGCTAATTTGCCTTCATGCATAAATCATAACTCCAGAACTGGTGGGTGTGCTCAGGGGGGGAAGAGAGATGGAGTAAAAACAACCTCAAGTAACGAATGACATTATCCTGAAACTTGCCTCCAAAATGCGAGCCCGCTGCCAGGGCTCAGTGCTTGTGCTCCGCGAAGGTTTCACGTCCGGCCTAACGCGCGCGTTCCCAGCGCATTTCACGCAGACATATTTCAACTAAACAAGATCAGATGCTGATGTTCATCCCCCTCGCCGACGCCAGCTGACGTGTGATAAAAGCCGCGCAGCTGTTTAAAACCGCTTGGACGCTCTTTGCCGGGATCTGCGGGAGAGGAAATGTGAATCCTGCCAACTTGTTGCCCGCACCCCAACTTTGAGGTGTGTTTCCGGGCGTGCTGCGCCAGAGACCCTCTTCCTGATCAATGCGTTGCCTGACTGAAAGGCAAAATATTATCCTAAATTTGAGTGTTTTTTTTGTTTTGTTTTTTACTTTACATAACACTTTGGAGGAGAAGCACGCAGCTTTATGAGATGCTTGGTCTAGTCTGGCACACATGGGAAATTTGGAAAACAATAATTTACCCTTAAATATGTACAAAACCAAAAGGCCCTAAAGAATTGATTGAAATTCCTTCATATGCTTATTTATTTTATTTTTTTTCAAGAGCATAATATCACATTAGTTTGGAAAACATCCATGTGAGAAAATAATGATAATTTTTCACCTATAGGACAGCACTCCTGGCAGCATTCAGTTTCTAAGCTCTGCAAATCTGGAACAAACTTCCAGAAAACAAAACAAGACGCTGAAAAACCGAGCTCCTTCAAAACGAGGCTAAAAACCTGCCTGCTTAGATCCGCATTTGATTTGAAGTAATTGGAACATTGGTCAATATATTGGATGTACATTTGCTTGATGATTTTGACTAAGTGTAATCGTTACTTCTTATGGCGTCAGACCCTTCTTGCTAGAATGCTGTGCAAGAAAACGTGACTGGACACTTTCCCTCAAATAATTTGTCGGGGTGGCGCAAACAGGGGGAGCCATCTTTGGCCATTCCATCATATCGTGCTATTAAAAAAAAAAAAAGTAAAAAAGAACCGTCAATTCTTACTTTTCTTGCAGACTTCATCATGTTCTTGACTAGAATCTTCTAATATTTTGCAAAAAGTTTATGATTCCAAGCACCATAAAGATTACCTGGAGTTCCCAGCGCCACAGAACCTCCATGTATTCATTCTCTGTTTCCCACCAGATCCACCACGTCTGCTGCTAAAACACTCTACCCCATTTCAATCTGACCAAGTTGTTCCAACTAACATCTCTGTCAAGTGAGGCAACCTTATTTGTTTACGTTTGTGAAGGTAGGACGGAAAATTCTTCTTCTTTTTTGGGGAGAGGGATCTTCTGGCATGTCTCTGAAACAATCGCTTAGTATCTAATGGTTGTGGTGGAAACTTGACGACCATTCAGCTGTAATTCCCCTACTGAGCTTCAGGCATTTTCTCTTGCCTCCCTTAAGATGACGGTGAGATGACCAGAGGTCCTCTCCAAGCAACAGCTTCAAACCTACTGCAGATTTTAGGCCAGGAGCCATCTTCTCGAAAACTTTTTCTGACTTGTGAGATCTGACGTGGCCCCCTCTCACGCAGCTGAATGGCATGTTTTCTTGTCTTTCCCATTTTTGAGCAGAGACTAAGAGGAAAAGAGGCATCTACATCATGCTGTTCTGCTGCATTTTATGTCGATGCAATTTTCTTTTTTATGGCCTTGGTAGAAAAAAAAAAGAGTCAAGGCTTTTTTTAAATGAGATTCAATAAATATTAATAAACTGATTTTTCAAAAAGTAAATCAGGACTTTAAGTTGTTTTTCCCCCCACTTTTCTTGATCAGAAGGTGTAAAACTGGGTCTGGACTGAAACCCATATATATGCACAGCCACTGCGCACCTGTCCATGGATGCACGCTGCCGCGCCATACCCACCTCTCCACCGACCACATGTCAGGAGGGTGTGCAGTGCCTTGTTACCTGCCAGGAGCTGGAGGGGATCTCCGCAAATTTGCCCAGTCCCCCGAAGGTGTAGCACCGGTACATGTGATCCAGAGACTCGGAGCAGTGCCACAGCAAGCCGAAGCTCACCGAGTCTTTGGCGCCGTGGTGCTGATGGTGCTGCTGGTGGCCGCTCCTCAGCTGCTCCTTGACAATCCAGGCGGGGGATATGAAGCTGAAGCTGCAGACGGCCACCAGGGCGGAGGACAGGAACACCCAGAAGCAGCCCACACAGCTGAACATTGTGGCGGCGGCGGCGTGGGGCGCGGAACCCGAGGACAGACCCAGACCGATCCCGAACCCGGCTTCGTCTTCTTTCTTCTCCCGGCCCAGGAGCCAATGCATCTGGAGCTCGCCGCCTTTCAGGAGCGAGACTTCAACTTGTCCTCGTCCTCCCTCCGTGCAGCACTACATGAGCAACAAGCAGGGATGCGGTGAGCGGCGGGCATCAGCGGCTGCAGCTCCGCGGGTCCCCTGGACATCTGGTCTGGAGGGGGGGGCGTGAAGATGCAGGACAAGTCAGGTGTTCCGCTCGCTGGGGCTGCCGCAAAAATGTGACACTCTAAATGTTTCGCAGACACCCACAAAAAAAAAGAAAGAAAAGAAAGAAAAACTGGACGCGGAGGAGTGGGAGTGGCAGTAGAGGAGCAGGAAAACACCTGGAAACACAGCGGGATGCCGCCTCTGCCTCAGGACCGGCAGCGCCTCACTTTGCTCCCCACTACTCGCCTCAGCAGCGCCAAGTTGACGCTTCGGCGAAGGAGGAGCTTCCGCCTCGGACCTTCAAAGTAAAAGACTCCAGGAAGTCCGGCTTTAAAGCTACATGCTAGCGAGGTCTTTCCGTAAGACCTGGGTCTTTGCTTCTCTCGAATAATAAACGACGCGTCACGTACTTCTGTGTAGTGATCAATTAATCAAGATAGAAACCTAGAAAACTAACTAGAATACGCGAGCCTCTTGTGACGTCACACGAGGCACAGTAAAGCAGCTCATTGTTGGTGGTTTTCTTCCTCTTCATCAGCATATTTTGTATAATAACACACAATATATAATAATAATATACATGCTTTGGATTAGTCTGCAGCACTGGAGGCAAACCCTGGTCCAGATGGATCCGCTTTCTATGAAGCGAGACCAAAGTACACCACAGTCTTCTCACCAATTTGGTATGAATTAGGAAGCACCTGGGAAATAAACCAAAACTTTTAACGCTAAACATAAATAAGACATTTTGAAAAAGGATGTTTTGTTTTTTTGTAACTAAAGTTTCTTTGCTCACAATTGGGCTAACATTTCTGAACTGCAAAGGAAACGTCTTTCAACCATTTAATATCTGTAATTTAGCACCTTTTTTCTCCAATATTTTAATACTTGTACTTTTTCTTTTCTTTTGAATGACTTATTCTACATCAATAAAATTACCTTTACAATCCTTAGGGGTTCTTGGATCCAATATTTAAAAAGCCAGAGAGGCTTTTTAAAAGCTGCATTTTCTCCAGCTTCACCCCATGACAATGCAGCCAACACTGCCCCCATGTGGTCAAACACGATAACCCGTTTTTATACTTTTGCTTCTTAATAGCTAATCTTTAAAAATGTTAAAAAATGAAGCCCTAAGCATTCTGTGAAAAAAAGCACATCTGACTTACCAATTCAAAGAATGAAACAGGGGAAGGAAAGAAAATGTTTTATAATAATTGAATTTGAATCAAACACATTTTAAATATATTATAGATCCAAGTACACATACATGTCAAAAACAGTGGTACATGGTACCAAGAGTTTTTTTTTCTGGTTCCTTTCCACATCTAGGTAAGGCTCAAAAGAACTAAAAAATAAAATAAAATTAACTGAGCACACCTTCCAGTTTAGCAGTCAATTCATTACTGAGTTTTGTGTCAGCAATGCTTATATATGTATAAAAACTAAGATCACAATTAAAAAAAAAAAGACAAATATTCATATAAGGGAAAAACCAGAATTTATATCTCTCTCTTTATATATATATATATTTATATATGTATAGAAACTTAAGGACGTGGAGTTTGGCTGGAGTATTTTTCTAAAGGCGCCGAGATGTTCAGTCCAAGCACCGGATCCGCTCTTCGCCTGCCTGACTCACAGTCACATCGCGAGACGCTCTACAGTACGCAAAGGGCCGGGGCGGGACAGCTTCAATTAGTAAACAACTCCACGCTGCTTATGCGACTACGACTCGAACACTTGCTGATTGGCTCCAAGTGGTAGACCCAGGACGAGAGAAACTCACGTAAAAACAAGGAATGCTTATACAAAAAAAAAAAAAAAGGTTCTGTGTGGGAGTGAATTTAATGAAGTCCTAGTAGAATCCTCCATAGGTCCGAGATGAGCGATAAACCGTCGTATCAAAATGCTGCTGCTTCCTTCTGGTGCTGAATGTTTTCTGACAGGAGTGCCTTAATGCGAGCGTCCTAGTGTGCATCTTCATAGTGTTTTGGAGATAGAAGGTTGAAGTACTTCAAGTTTTGTCTCGGTCCATGCGTTAACACTCGCCCGAACTAACAGCCACCCACACACACACACACACACACACGCACACAAGCATAAGGTAAACGGGGAGGCGATAAAATTCTTTGTTCTTGTTTCGAGGGGAGGTAAAGCAGTTCACTGCGGCGTAAATCCAGCCGACAGACAAAGCCAGTCTGCAAGGAGTTTTCTGTCCTTTGGTTCCTCAGTGGGGTCATAGCTGCACACAGACAGAAGAAAACACTTAGAGGAAGAACAGTTTCCATCACACACGCACGCACGCACGCACGCACGCACGCACACACACACACACACACACACACACCACACACACACACACACATTTCTACTGAGAATCCCGCGGCGGCTTCTCTACCTTGGTGGATTTGCCGGGGCTGTCGTGGTTCGACTGGTGGACGACGTCGTTGACGATCATCTTGGCGATCTTCCACGCCATTTCCTCCTGGGCCTTGATAAAGAACAAAATCATAAAAACAAAAATAATTACCACAAGCAAAAAAAAAAAGATAAATAAATAATAGAAGCAAACTATGTGGTAGAGCATGTACTATATGAATCATTGATGAGACTTTAACAGCTTTTTTTTTCTTTTTTAATCTCACCTCGTCTGAGTTGCCCTGGACCCATTTCTTCATTGCTTGAGAAAACATGGAGCCTTGATCGGGAAAAGAAAGCCGTTTATTATCTATGAGACTTCTGCTTTTATGACATGAATATTTCAAGAGTAGGACATTTGACTTTATAGTTCATGTCTGGTCATCATTTCTGAACTTCTGTAAACGCCTCTATCATCAAGAAACTGAATCATTCGCTCTTTCTTCTTTGCAAAAAAAAAAAAAAAATATATATATATATATATATATATATATATATATATATATATATATATATTGATTGCCAAAGCTTTATCTTATTGAATAGAGAGCGGAAGTCAGCAGCAGATTTCTGCCACAAATATTCAAAAGGTTAATTAGGTACGGACTTCAATGAGCTTTGCTATTTTTACCTGAACCACAACAATGCAAGGCGAATGTCGAGTCAAAGTCAAAATATTTTAATTTCACACATATGCCAAACCTTGACAATCTCTGCTCTTGGACTTAAAGGCTTTTGTTTCAGTTTAAGAGCAGGAACTCATTTTTTCGACTCCAGAAAATCTGTTAAATATTTCATAGGGTCGAGGGGAGCAGGAAGGACGTTTGAGTGTCTTACCTTTTGATTTCTTCACGTCGGGTTCTGGCTCGGCCTCTCTGATGAACTGACCCAACTCGTTCACCTTTCCGAAAGTCATCTTTCTGAGAACGCAGAAGACAGGAGCCGATGAAGAGCAAAGGGGATAAAAGGAGGCCTGAACGCACACGTACTCTGTGCGTGTGTGTGTGTGCGTGTGTGTCCCCGTTACGCACATACCTAATAGCAGAGCCGTGCATAAAGTTGATTTTATCAATTAATACATTTTTGGTTTTTGAAGATTTAAGGAGGATTATTTTTTCCCCACCAATGCATGCCGTGAGTCTCAATAGGTAGGAGTGATGTCAGCAACAATAGAGTCAAAGTAAGAGCAGAATAAAGTTGAACTATTGCCAGACTAAAGTAGTAATTTTATGAAACCTCCCAACACAAAAAAATAACAAAAATTAAATGTTGAGCATCTTGTAAAGTCATACTTGGTATTGGTTTAACAAACAAAGAAATACTTCATCTTTTAACATTTCAGAACCATTACTGTCAGGACTTTGAATCGATAGTGAAAACAATCCTCAACACCATTAATTGTTCACTTTAGAGACAGAGCTAGAAAGTTTCGTTTTAAAGGTGAACTCACCCAGCGTACGGCCGTTGGTAGAGCATCTCCGGATCCAGGCTGGCCACGTCGACGGTGATCGCCTCGTCGAAGTTCTTCAAAATCTTGATGGCTGCTTTCTTGGCTCCCTGCTGCAACGAGCGTACAACAGGAATTCATCTTCGTGAACGTGACAAAGACCGGCGGCGCGATCGCGACCTCGTCGTCAGTACTGTGACCCAGAGGGGACGGCTGAAAATGTCAGCATGCGGGGCTCGACGTGCGCAGCTCACCTGAACCTGGGAGCTTTCGCCGGCGTTCGAGCCGGAGCGGTCGCCGTCTGCTGGCATGCCCTGACCTTGACCTTGACCTTGACCGCTCATGTTCACGAACTCGTCGCCCCGTACCGAGTTGATGAGGTCGCTCAGGTATTTGTAGTAAATGTTGCTGGACAGGAAGCCGGGCAAATACACCTGAACGGTTGCACAACAGGACGAGCACCATTAGTGACAAGCCTTTGTAGCTCGCCGTTTCCGAAGATTTCGACCCTCATGTCGATGATCAGTGACGCAGAAAAATCGATGCTAAACTTCAGATAAATAGATTATTTTCAGTACTATAGTCAGGGTACAGAAATGACTCAGTGCCTTGTAAAAAATATTTACACCACTTAAACAGCACAACTTTGAGGAGAACTTTCAAGCAGCGTTTGACCCAGAAGAGCTCCAGGATTACCTCAAAAAAAAAAAAAAAAAGAAAACCTCAAGTGAAAAAATCTGTCAACAAAATAATTAATGAGATCAAAATCTTTCTGTTGTCGCTGCCAAACTTTGGAACTTGTTGGCTTTAAAAATTAGAGAAGCGTCTTTTCTCCCTATTTTTAAGTTTCTGAAAAAGTACATCTGTTTTCAACAGCACTTGACCCAGTGTCAGCTGAAATGTTTTTTACATCCTCTGTGTTAGAGCTTATACGTTTTAAATGTTGGTTTATTATTATTATTATTATCATGATAATAATTAAACATAAAAACAAAACTTCAATATCCAGTTAAAAAAAAGGAGCAGGAAGAAGACAAAACTTATGAAATCCTACCCCCTAATTTCAAGCCAGATTCTAATTAAAAGCTTAAAACTGAACCTGTCAGGTACCACACATGTTTTAGTTTGAATCACCTGTTATGGTTTCATTTAAATTTCACACCAACTAGAACTACAAGCATCCAGCAACTTAAAGTCAAAGTTGAAGCCAAGTTCATGTCAGATACAATTGGTCATTAGAAAAACGGCTTCAGCGAAATAAAATGCTCAGTCCCACGTCTTTATAAGACATTTAGCCCTACAATATTTGCAGTAATAATTTAGATTACTCCATCATTTCCTTTATCTTAAGATGTTTTTAACTTTAAGCTTCTGCTCAGTGAAACTCTTTAAACACTTCTGTCCTGTACAATTAAAAAAATGTATGTTTACTAAATTGTTAATTAGTCATGTACAAGTTAACACTGGCTTTACTGACAGCGCTTTGTTGCAACAAGTACAAAATGAGGGAACTTTTTTTTTTTTTCCTGACGCCCCAAACGCGTCCTCATCGG